ATTCCTGCAAAAAAAGTGTTCGTCACCACTACCATAGTCGTCATCTACTTCACTGTGTTTTTTCAGGTATCGTCTACTGTAGTTGTGTGTCAACATTTTTCCACAGAAAATGTTTCGATGCACCGTTTCTTAGAACATATTATATAAATAGTATTAGAGGTATTCCCTTGTAACAATTAATTTCATTACATCATATGACGGCTCCATCAAAAACGAATGAAGCTATTGGATCCCTCCACAGCAGCATAATCTGTGCAGAAAAAACGACCATGCTTCACCCTGTTTTTGCGAGTGAATACAGACACTGACCGGCAGTCCTTCACGCGGGTTTTTGAACATCATTAGAACACTCTCCTTATTCGATTGTTTCAACGTTCATCGCAGACATGCATGGAATTACTGGAGAACAGGAACCATACGATCTACCCTGTATTGACTAATTATGTGACGGTAATGCACTACATAGTCGTCGCTCACTCTCCAGGTTGGTTTCATTGCAATGATAACGATGATACAATGAAAATGAGCAACGGTGTTTGTTGAATGTCCATTTCGCCACCGTGTCATCAGATCCTGTGCATCTGGCGCTGCCGTATCACGTTTTAATATGATGAGTGTCATTATCCTCATTTACCAAAGTTTATGATATCGATTTCAAGAGCCCTAACACCATGTCGACTGACTAACCCCCATTATAATATAGTTTACGTTAACGTTTTGCTGTTTCACGGTAGACTGACATTAAAACAGATATTCGGTGGCTTCACCGACAATTTTTTCACTATGACAAATGAATGATCTCTCGCAGCGGCGTTGCATGTTGCAATTTCCTTAGAACAATTAACATAAGGTCGCTGATGTTTGAAGCCTTCCATTCCCTACATTACATTTGCAGAAAATGAAGTTGTGACCGTGACAGGAACGTAAAGTTTATAAAGTTGATCGAGCCACTTTGTTAGCTCAGACAAAGAAAGTTGCTATCATCAGCAACAAACGTTCATCGGCCATCTGCATGACATAGAAAATAAAAAACAAGAAAGTACAATGAAAATACTGCAGCACAATTAGCAAAGCCATTATGAAAATTTTTCGATCCATCACCAGATGAAGGCCACTCCTTGGTCCAAGCTTCCAACCACAAAATAAGCCCTTTTGGGTGCTGCTGTTTATTGGAACTTTCCCTAACGTACCTCTGGTTCATTTCTTTTCAAACGTTCCAGTTTCTGCTTCTACCCATTCGTTAGTCTTCCTAGTCTTTCTTGTTATTTTTTGAGCATACACTAGACATACTACAGATCTGTAGCTTATGAATAGCTTTCAGAGCTTAGGGTACACACTATGGATTAGCACTAGAAGCGCAAATCGTTCCATTCCAGTCACCAAGGCAGTATCTTAATTTTCAAAACTAACTTTATCTGATTTTTGCTCTTCATGGTTAGCATGTCCTTGCTTATTCCATAAATCATTGTACCCTTGTTGGTCTTAATTTTCTGCCTTAATTTGACTTGCTATTTCTTAAGATAGGAAATGAACTATCAATAAATATACTGTAATTTTTATTGATAAATTCGAGCCACAGCCAAAGTTGATTTATGAGCCAACTCTAATACCAAGGGGAAAAATAATACGACTGGGTATATTTATAATTATTTGCATATGAAATGTCTATTTCTTAAAACGGACATGTTCTACAGTTTCTGCTTTTAGGGAATAACTATTAAGCCGTTGGTGGAATTTCTAAAAGTAAAGAGGCAGGAACAGCGGGAGAAATCTATGCATGAAAAAGTGACTGAAAAGGTTTGCTAACTGTTTGTTTATTTTGTCATCGTCATTTTCAGCCGCTTTGCAAAACTGTAGCCTGTTTAAAAGTTCATGATGTCGCTTAGGCTCAAAATGTGACATTTTCATATTTGGATATGCTTGCTGCGTCTACGAGGGAATACTACCTCATTAACAGCAGATCCCCTTAATTTCCTCTGCCATGTGACGGACTGCCAACCGCTAGTATTTTGGCTCCAGTTTAATCAACTGCCAAACCTTCGAAGCTTGTTTGCCTTCTTGTTGATGATCAAGCCTCCTATCTCAAATCACTTCAAAAATGGGAAGAGCCAAGGCAACAAGGTAGCAGTTCCTAAAGCACCATCTGATATACGGCATACATCGTAATCAGAGCTGTTGGAAGCTGTTCAGCCAGAATTGACGTGCTCTGTCGTAAGCCACTATTCTTAGTCTGTAGATCCCACATGGCCTGATAATGGCGCATTAAAACATAAGTTTTGAAAATGACTGCGCTTACGTTTCGAAGTAAAGATTTCTGGATTTTTCAAGGTACACTAGTCAGACCAATCCACACATTCAGGTATTGAAAATGGTTACTGTCGACAGAGACGATGTCTTCAGGGTTGATGAAATTGCAGGAAAGTTTCCGTGGTGCTTCTGTGACACACACTTTTTACAAGTGTTCCATTTGGACTCCTCGTTGCGATTGTCTTGACGGGGTTCAGCTGTGAAAGTGGCATTTGCTCTGGTTGTTCACACCGCCCGTTTCAGTTAACAACTAAAGGGACACTGTAATCAGCACAATGCACACCCGCAAGGCACTTACATACAGTAACCTTCAACCCGCTGCTG